TTTTAAGCATCACTATTAAAAACGAAAAACTACAACAAAGAGAGAAAAAACTTAGGAACCAAAAAAAAAAAAAAAACCATAAACATGAAATAACAACAACCAACCCAAATGTGATAAATGGATCATCATCATCATTGTGTTGCAAATGGCAATGTGTCTGTTTTTTTACCCAGAAAAAACCATTTCTTGATATCTTTGTTATTTTTTTCCATAGGAATAATAATAACATCGCATTCTTTCTTTATTCATCCAAAAAAAAAAAAACATTTAAATGTTTGGTTTTGGTTAGTAAGAAAAAAACCAATCCCCTTTTCCACATATAAAAACAGGAAACACTAACATTTTTTTAACATCCTTGTTCCAATAATAAGAATCTTTGAAATATTCTTTCTTGCCTTATGTCTTTCTTGGAATTTTTTCTTAGTTTCCTTGTGGAAAAATGCAAATTATCTTCTTTCTTATTTCGTTCTTTTTTTGGCCAAGACCAAAAAAATCTTCCCTGTGGTGAAATTAAATCGGTTTTCTTCACTTAAAATAAAATTGAAATTTGAAATTCATATCATTTTACACACAGTAAAGATGAAATTCTTTCATCTAAAAGGATATATGTAGGATGAGAAAATGGCCATAAGTTATCTAATTTCATTTTTCACACACCAAACACTGAATCCGATTAAGGCCAATTTTTACAAATATTTTGCTGAAACAAACACTAAAATTCATTAATCTCACTTTTTTTTCTTTTGATTTTTTTCCAAATTCTTCGATTCTTCAGATTCATTGCAAGTAATAATGTATAAAAATTTTAAGGAAAAAATGAAACAATCATCATCATCATCATCGTTGGGGACTAAAATAAAACCAATATTTATATTGGAACATTATCTTGGTATTGAAAGTGGTTTTATTTATGATCATGAATCAAATACAATGGCCATTATTTGTTTAAAACAAACAATATTATTTTCATTTGAAACAAGAGAAATTTTATTACAATGGCAAACAAAATTACGTGAACATTTTTGCAAAGGTAAGCTGTTTTTTTTTGTTTTTTCAGCAACATTGGCAAATTGTTTTTCATTCTAATTTTCACAATTTTTTTTCGTACAAAAATTCTTTGCAAATTTTCACATTCACAAACAACAAAAAAAGAACGACATTTTCTTGTTCAAGTGGTCAACGTACCGAATAATAATGGTCATTCAACAAATACAACGAATAATAATCAAAATCAAAATAAACAGATAAAATTGGGTTCAGCAAGATTATTATTACAGGATTCAAAATTTTGTTTAGTAAATAATATACCACCAACATTATTATGTTATTGGTCTATAAAACAATTACGACGTTTTGGTTTAATCGATAATAAATTCTGTTTTGAAGGTGGATCACAATGTGGTAAAGGTTCGTTGTTTGTTTGTTTATTGGTTTTTGTTTTCATTATTAATAATATTTTCAATGTAATCAAACGAAAATGAGAAATTTTCAAAAACAAAATATTTGCAAATCGATTGAATCCATTAGTTTGGGCGTTGAATGTTATTTTTGCTCATCATCAATTTTTATAGTGAGATTTGCTGTTGAGTTTTGACACAACCATCATTAACGTCAGGTTATTCTGGCATAGAGGAAAAGTTTTAGGTTAGAGTATTCAGTACTTTCATGTCAATATGATAATTTATATCGAGTTAATTATATTCTTGAACATTTAAATTTATGTGATAATGATTATGATTATTATCATATTATGTGTGTGTGGTTTGTTTGTGTTTGGTTTGTGAATTTTTGGAATTCATTTTTTTTCGTTTTTTTCATGTGATAGGTCGTGGCCTACATATACTATATACAAGTGAACCAGAAGAATTAATCCGATGTTTTGATTTAGCATCAAATGATCAACTAAATTCATTTGAATTATCAATGTCAAAATCAGATAATTTAAATAATATAAATATTGTTGATAATTTAATACATAAACAAAGATCAATATCAAGTTCAGATAGTTCAACTGGTGATTCAAGTTCACAATTATTATCTAGTTTTTTTGGTGATATTGATACATTATCAGCTAATTATTATTGTGGTAATGGTGGTGGTGGTGTTAATAGTGGTGGTGGTACAATGATAACAGTAAAAAATTCTGAATTCTATCATTCAACAATGAATTTAATGCCAATTAAGCAACAACAACAAACATCATCACCATTGATTAATCATAATCATCAAATGCAGAATAAATGTTGTTCATCGTCATTCAGTTCGAATACGATTGGCCGTTTTTCAAATCTGACATCGAACCAACCACCGATAATGGATATGAATATCCGATCTGATTCGATCGAATGTTGCCATCATCACCATCATAATCATCACCAGAATCACCAGAATCATAATCATCACCATCATAATTCCTTTGGTTGTTGCCACCAACAATCAATGCAACAACAACAACAACGAAACATAGATAAATGTAATGATGAAAACCAAAGTAAAAAAAATCTTGGTATGATATCCACCGAAAGTACTTTAACATTAAAACAACATTCAAATTTTAATTCTTCTACTAAAAATGTTGATAAAACAACAGCAGAAATCATTAATTGTGATCACGAATCATCATCATCATCAACAACAGAATCATCCATCCATGACCATCATAGTTTATTATGCAATAATAATCTAAAGAATCAGAATAAATATTCTACTGCTACAACTACTTCATCATCATCATCATCATTATCATCACCACCACCTCCTACCAACAACAACCAAACAACAATGACAATCATATGCAGCAATTCTAATGATCAACAACGAGAACAACAGCAACATGAATCTAATTCTTTTTCATTTGGCAATCGAATAAATTCAAGTCAAATGAATGTTAATAATAATAATGATGATTGTTGTTGTACAACCAATGGCAATTATTATTGTATGAATAAATTGACTACAAACAACAGTCAAAATAGTGATTCAAATAGTCGAATGAATAATATTCATTCGACGAATAATTTCACAACTTGTAACGATAATACTACTATGATGGTAGCTAATGATCATAATGAAAAACCAAATGTACAAATGGAAACAACGATGATGTCGAAAATTACGAATAAAGAAATCGATTCAAATACTTTATTACGATTTCCAAGTCATGATTCAATGAAGGTTAGTAGTGAATAGTAGTGAGTAGTAATGGAAAATTGAAAAAAAAACAGAATGCATCAGCAGTAGCAGTAACAGCGGAATACATTCTTGGATCGATAGAGTTTTTTTTTTGTTTCGAACGATTCCTTCGAAAGAACTCAACGAGCAACCAAAAACTAAAAACATCCCACATATTTGGCCATTAATCATTCTTTTCTCTCTTTCTTTCTTTCTTTCTTTCTCTCTTTGATTTTTCTAACATTACCCGGATTTTTCATCACCACCACCATCATCATCATCAGGAACAAGAATCAATAATCGACCATCCGTATCATCGAATTAATTTTGTTCCCAGAATTGTTACTGAATATACTGAAAATAGAAAAACGTCACAAACAACAACAACGGCCACAACGACGACGACAAATTCGAATGCAATGGACAATTATGATATACCGAAAAATTTGTGCAAAATGATGATTATGGTAAATATAAGTGATAGTGGTTGTTATTTTTGGTCATTATTTTATTCTATTTTCCGGTCCAGAATTTCTTTTTTGTTTTTAGTGATGATGATGATTATCATGATAAATTTCTTCTTCTTTTTGCGGTTATAATTTTCTCTTTCTTTTTCTATTTTTGTGTTTATAATGTAGAAAATTGCCAAAAGCGAAAATGATGATGATGATGATGGAGAAAAACAAAAGCATCCACAGAATGTTTGTGTTTGTAATAATTTCATTATTAATGGCAAAATTGATGATAAACATCTGAGTCTATTGCAAACGACTGAAACAGAAGCAGCAGCAGCAGTAACGGATAACTCTATTCAATTTGTTTCACATCATGATGATAATGATGATTTAAATGGAACAAAAAAGAAAATCTGTTCATCATTATCATCAACATCGTTTAATAATTCTTGCCGTCAAAATTTTCATTGTTGTTGTTGTTATTATTGTTGTGGTGATGGTGGTTCTGACAAATGTTCATCATCATCAACAACAACAATAAAAGCTAAAAATTCAGTTCAACAACAATCTGATTCTGTTTATGATGGATGTTTACAAAAAGATCAATCAAATACACATAAACAATCACAAGCTAATTGTTGTTTTCATAATAATGAAACCAAATCTTTTTTATCATCAGTTTCAACAAATAATAATGATGGTGATGGTGGTTATGCAACCATTGTTAAATCATCATCATCATCATCTGGTTGTAATCAATCAAATCATCATCAACACCAGCAACAACATAATGAAAATATAAATACAAGACAAATAACGAAAAAATCTCAAGAGATGAATTATGTGAATATAAATTTCATAAATTCAATAAAATATTATGAAAACATGTGTTTTGATAATGCTGCTGATGATGAAAAAATGATCATCACTACAACTACTGCCACACAAACATCAATGATAAACCAAATAACAAGTGATAATGATCATCGTTCAAGTGTTAATGATAAACAGAATGAAAAATATTCCGATGAAGATGATGGGAAAAATTTTGATAAAAATGATGATACAAGTGAAGAAGAAAAAGAAAAAGATTGCCTATTATTATTATCATCATCCAAGATAATAAATGATTCTATTGTGGACAATAATTTTTTAGAAAACCTTATGGTACCTATCAACAACGATACGATAATCAATAATAAAATAATGGTAGAAAAAAATCCAGAAAATATAGCTGCCGTTAAAAATGAATCAATGATGATGATAGTTTTGAAAAATAATAATAATAACGATGATGATGGCCAACATACAACGACGACGATCAACATGGGAAATAAAATAGATAGTGAAACTAATTCGAATCGACTCTTGAACAACAACGACCAAGACGAGTCTAAAAAACAAATGCAAAAAGAGGATGATGATGATGATGCAAAAAGAAAGAATAAAAAAAAGGACAACAACCAGAATGATGATGATGATGAAGATAAAAATGTGGTTCAATGTTCCAAAAATAAAAAAATTACTGAACTAAATTGCAATCCAAGCGTATCATTAAATATGAATAGAAATAAGTGCAATGAAAATAATGTTGCTGTTGATAATCACTTTGATCAAAATGATGATGATGATGATCATCATCATCATAACATTATCAATAGTAGTAGTTATCAAGATCATAAGGTTCATTGTTCCAAAGAAGAAGAAAATGACAATGAAAACAACTATTCAACTACTACTATGATCCATTGTTCTAAATGGTACGATGAAAACAAAAGCAATGTTAATGTTGATGATGATGATGATATTGAAATTGAAAAAAAAACTTTTAACCATTCGAATGATTCTGTTTTAGATTTGAAAAGATTTGAACAGAAAACATTAGTCGATACAATGGTCGATGATTCTTTTATTCAGGAATTCAAATCGTCCAACCGTAACGACAACGATGATGATGATGATGATGATGTACGGCTGTTAAATGATGAAATAAATGGAAAAGCAACGCAGAATTCTGCCATCACTGATAATAATATCCAAAAATAACAAATCTAATTTACTCGACAATTCCAGATAACCTATAGGAAAAAAAACATTTAAACATCCATTCAAACATATTGAACGTTTTTTTTTTGAACAGAAAACATAGCATCAATGATATTGTCAATTCGATGATGATGACATCAACATAAGCAGCAGAAAAAGCATCTAAATTGAATAAATAAACAATGAAAAGGAAAAAAAAGGCAATTCATATATGAATGTGTTTAGGTCACAAACAAATGAAATTATAAAATTCTCAAATGCATCCATTGGATCATCATTAATTTAAATTTTTCTTTTGCTTGCTTTCAAAACATTCAATGAAATTCTGAATAAATGAAAATGTTAATCGGGTTTTAAATTGATTGTAAATATAGAGAGTGCTCAAAACATTTGATATTTTATTGAATTTTCTTTTTCGTCGAAAACAAATCAAAGTTTTGTTCCTTATCTATTCAAAAACACAGAATAAAAAAAACCGTTTTTTTTATTATACTCTGGAATTTGCTATTACTTTCTTTGGAATTTCTCTTTTTCAATTTTCAATTTCGATTTTTTCGTTTCGATCATTGAATCGATCAATTTGCTGTGGTTATAGTTTGAAAGTGTCCATAATGGTCATCATCAATATTATCATGGTTTTGTTGTTCATGATGTGGTAAAGTTGTTGTGTCAACAAAATTTATCCAAAAATTGGCACAAGTCAAATGATATTGGATTCCATTATCACCATCGATCGTTATTCGTAACGAATCATTTGTTATTGATTCAAATTGTTCGTTGTCGTCGTCGTCGTCGGCATCATCGTTGTCGTTGTTGTTGTTGTTAACAAAAATTACTCTGGTAGAACAAATCCAACATTTTTCATCATTATCGACCCCTTTATAGTGAAATTCTTTTGAATCAATACAATCATTCAATGTAATCGATGCTTTTTTCATTAGATTATGAATAGAATTCCAATTTCGGTCAATTTCATCCACTAATGTACGACATTTATCAATATCAACATCATTATCATTATTATTTTCGATTGCAAATTTTATTCGTTCGACAATCTTATATACCTGATATAAATCTATTGAAGAAAAAAGAAATTATTTTGACATACAAAAAATTTACATAGCAATAAAAAATTCAAAAAAAGAACAAGAACAAATTACCATTAGCAAACGAATGGCCTTGTTTCGATGATAATGTTTCGATTACAGATGCTTCATCATGATTCACAGCCAATACATTGAATGTTTTATGCATCACTTGTTTAATTGCAGTTAAAATTCTTTCTTTTATTCGTTTTTTATCTTGAAAACTTTTTTCTTCAGGTTTAAACAATGCTGATGATGATGATAATGTTGATGCTATAGGAATAATTTCTTGATGATTTGTCAAACATTCCTGTTCGATTGGTTGTGAATGAAAATCACCAAATTCTTCCTGAACAGATGATATTTCGTTTTGAAATTTTCTAAAAAAACTATATTTATCTTCAAATTCATTTTGTTCATTGGAATCTGGTTGAATGACATTAGTGGCAAAAAGATCTTCTTGATCATCGAAATCATTATTGGTGGGATTTTCTTCGTTCACATTAAAAGTTTCAATTAATTCGGTTTGAATAAAATCACCAAAATCATCATCTTCATTGTTATTACTATTTGTGAGTTGCATTTGTTCTTGACTAGTGTTCGGGGTTGATACTTCAAATAAAAGATCTTCGGTTATAATACTATCGATTGGGTTTAAAGTGGAATATTTTGGTGGTTCAATAAAATCATCAACGGGAAAAGGTTTATTAATTTCTTGTTTATCATCAACAATCGTCGAAGCTGATTTAAATTCACAAAATTCATTTTCATTACGAGAAGATTGAAAAATATTTTGTTCATTTTGTTCTAGTGGTTCTGGTATTATCGTCGATGTCGATGATTGTTGACATAATAGAGGTTTAGGGAATAAGTATGAAAAATATGGCACCGGTATTGTTTGTATTGAATACAATTCCTGTAATGGATTGGAAACATTTTGTTGAACTAAACTAACCAAAGCTAATAATACGAATAATTCATTTCGTGTTAATTCACCCGGTTTAGTACGATTAACAAATGACCATAATTTAGCAAGAACATCATTGGATAGATTAGATGTAATTAAAATCTGATATAATCGATCACGATCACAGAATTCAGATTCATTATTGCCAATTGAATTACATTGCACTGATTGCCATATTTTAAGATAGATTTCAGGAATTTCAGAATGAAGATAAAAACATTGTGGAATAACAATTGATGATGAATAATAATTTGTTGTTGTTTCAATAGTTTCGATCGATTTCGAATGAATATCGTTGATACATGCTGTTGTAAATGGAATTTTTATTAAAATTAAAAAGAAAAAACAAAATTTAGAAGCTTACGTTGATTTTGATGAAATTGTTGAGTATTTACATTAAGTAGCTGTTGTTGCTGCTGCTGCTGTTGTTGTTGATAATGATGAGTATTATAAAATTTTGTTATCTTAGCATCAGTATCAACTTTTTCAAGAATATTTTTTATCAATTGATCAGCTGAAAGATCTTTATTTCTTGTTAAATCATGTTGTTGTAAACGTTGTTGTTGTTGTTGTTTATAAAATAATTCACGTTGTAATTTTATTGAATCATTTTTTTGTTGTTGATTATTTGATTGTTGTTGTTGTTGTTGTTCCATTCCATTTCATTGATAAATAATCTTTTGTTTTTCTCTTAATGATCAAAAAAAAAAACCATTTGGAACGACAACAACCAAAACTTGAGAACTCGAACTTTAAAAAATTTACGGAAAAGATTCTTTGAGTCAAAAGAAATATGGAATTCGAGAAACTTTTTTTTTGCCTCTCACAAATTCACACGTTTTCTTTTGATTTAAAAGGCAATGCTGTTTTTGGTTAAAAAAACTTCAACAATTTTTCAATCATTTCGTTTCAATTATCACTATTATTATTATTCAACAAATTCATCAAAAATGTTGCTTGAAGATTTTCTTGAAAAATTGAGTAAAAAAATACCATTACAATTAGCATGTGATTGGGATAATGTTGGATTATTGGTGGAACCGATGGAAAAATTTCAAATCAAACGAATAATATTGACCAATGATCTAACGGAAAAAGTTATGAATGAATCAATAGAAAAAAATACTGATCTAATTATTTCATATCATCCACCAATTTTTCGTCCATTCAAAACAATTTGTCAAACAAATTGGAAAGAAAGAATTATTGCCAAATGTTTAGTAAATAAAATTGCCATTTATTCACCACATACAGCACTTGATGCAATTTATGGTGGTATTAATGATTGGCTTTTGGGTCCATTTGTTTGTTCATACATACGACCGGTTGAAAGATCATTACAAAAATCTACATTTGAATATCAAATACAATTGAATGATTGTAATAAAAAATCATTGATCTGTGATCAATTAAAAGCTGAAAAAATTCAGGTTCAAATGTAAATATCATAAATAATGATTAAGCATAACATAAAAGTATTTAATTAATTAATTAATTAAATTATCATTGATTTTCAGAAATGAAACATATGGAATAATACAATGTAATGGTGATAATTTACCATTAATATTGAACAAAATTAATCAACAAAAAGTAACATTTTCAACAATAACTACCAGTCCAAAATTACCAATTTTAAATGAAGGAATGGGACGTATTGGACAATTATCCGAACCAATGAAAATCAATCAAATTGTTTCGACATTAAAAATGAATTTAGGTTTAGAACGAATACGTTTAGCATTAGCCGATAATCATACGGATGATACAATGATTCATACGATTGGTGTTTGTGCTGGTTCTGGTTCATCGATTCTACGACAAATAAGACCTGCGGTTGATTTTTTTATTACAGGTGAAATGTCTCATCATGAAGTATTGGATGCAATACATTCCGGTACATCGATTGCATTATGTGAACATACAAATACTGAACGTGGTTATATTCGTAACGTATTACATGATTATCTTGTTGAAAATTTCCCAATATTATCGATTTCAATGTCGGAAGTGGATAAAGATCCACTACAAATTGTTTAGATTCACCTCTACCATTTAATTCAATTCAATTCAACTCCAAAAAAAAAATTAATATCGAGCGACATTAACGATCAATCGATATGACAATAATCACGTCGTCACAATTGAATGCAATGAATAATGTTTTTACAACAAAAAGCTAAAAAACTATAAAATTATATCCAACATTTGTAATCCTGATTTTTTTTACGTAAATGGATGAATGAAATCCTCATGATCAATCAAACAAAACAAAAAACCAAATGCTATATTCAATCATTATTCACAACATTGGAATAAAAACGACGACGGCTCCCATATTGCCAAATATATTCGATAACAACATTCGATTTTTTTTTTCTCTGGTGTCCTATCTTCAATGAGTGGATCCTTGATTTTGTTTTTTGTTTTTCTCTCGTTTCAATGCTGCTGCTGCATGTAAAATTTGTTTTGATGATGGTGATGATTTGATGATAATCAAAAGAACAACAAAAAAAAAATAACCAGAAATTTTATTATTTTGTCAACCTATTGTATATACCACATAACAATGTATTTTTTTAAAATTTAATTATCTTATATGATCATGATAATAAAGTAATTGCTCCTTTTCTTTTTTTTCCTTCGACAAAAGTAAACATTCGATTTTGATATGATAATTTGTTCGAAATGGAGCGAATGAAAATCATTGACAATTTGATTTGACCGAGCGAAAAAACCACATTGTTTTCAACATTTAATCCAAATGAATTTTTTGGATCAAAAAAGTGACACGAAACATCTACAAAATCTAAATGCATTCAACATTTTAAATTGTTCAACATCTTCCATTAAGATTTTTTCAATTTTTATTTTCAATTCAAAATATTTATCATCATCAACAAGTGTCATCATCATTGTTGATCCATATTTTTTTACCATTTTGTATTCGACATTATCATTATCATCATCATTATCCATTGTCTTCGAGGATTTTTAATCCGTTTCGTTTCGTTTCGTTTCTTTTTTTCCAACCAACATTTCCACTATTTTTAATCTGAATTTTCAGGTAAGTTTTTTTCTTTGTTTTGTTCCATCATCATCATCATCGTTTTTTCTTCATTGTGTTAGTGCATGTCATTTTTGCCCCCTCTTTCTAATGATGCTTTTTTTGTTGTTGTTCTCACTTTCACTATCTTTTTTTAACCTATTCATATTCATCATTATCGAATGCCTAAATTTTGTAGAAAAATTTTCAAAACAAAAAACAAAACAAAATCGATAATAATAATCGAATGTTTTTGTTTTGACAAAAAAAAAACGGAAAAACTTTTCTTCTGTTTTGCTTTGTGTCAGGACAAAAAAAAAATTTTCGAGAGCGAGCATGAGAGAGAGAAACCTGTTTGAATATGGTCCCTTTTTTTTTGTTAATGGATGATAATTTGATGTGATGTGATGCGATGCGATGTTTTTTTCTACTGCTTTTTTCCATTTCTTTCCATCAACATCAACAATTATCTTGTGAGTTCGATTCAAGTGAAAGTGAGTTTAAGAAGAAACTACTACACACGAACATTATTCAGTTTTTTCTGTTTGGATTTTACCATATTTCCATGTTGATTTTTTTTTTGATTTTTGTTGATTATTTAGATTTATATGAAAATAATAATAATCCTAAATGGAAAAAAGAAGAAATGAGATTAATATAGGAAAAGAAATGTGCATGTAAATGCTTGAATGAATAATGTGAAAATTATTATTATTATCATCATCTTCTTCCATGCTGTTTTTTCCATAATTTTGACCATCATCATCATCAAAAAAAGTGAATGGCCAATACATTTTACCATCATATGTGATGAATGATGGAAAAAAAGTAGAGAAATTTTATTATTATTTTTTCTTCATTTTCTCATGATTATGATCATCAACATTTTTATGTTTTTTTGCCATCATCAACATTATCATTGGAACGAAGTCATCGAATCAAAACTATCTTTGAGCATTTGTGAAACATTCGATTTCCTTTTGGTTCATATGTGTGTGTGTGTTGATCGGGTCGATATAGTTGCCAAATCGAATCTTTTTATTTCGAACAAAAAAAAAAAAATGTTTTCAATTATCTGGTTTGGTGTCTAAATAAAAACCATCCATCCAATGGCCCTCATAGAAATTGATCGTTAAAACAAATGTCCTTTTTTTCTGGTTTATAGTGGCTGTTTTTCATTAACATTTTGTGATGATTTAAATGGTTTTTTTGCCATTGTGTCGTGTTTTGAATAGTTAAAAACAAAAAAAAAATTATATTAAAATTGTGATTGTCCTCGTTATCTTTCGAAAATATTGGATATTGTTTGGATTTTGTTCAATATTTTTTTGTGGCCAAATGGAAAATTTTTGTTCAAATTAGTGTTTTATCAGCATTTTATCATAAAATTTTTTGTCGTTGTTGTTTCGAGAGCAATCAAATTTGTCAATTTTTTTTTTGGCTTTATGATTCTCATTTGACATCATGATTCAGGATATCCTTTGACGATAATTTTTGATGGCTGGTTTTTTACTGATAATTTTATGCCATGTGTCCCTGTTGTTGGTGTGGGGTGTGTGTGTGTGTGTGTATTTTCTTCGAAATCCTGTTGATTTTGACCATTTTGTTGTTGTAGTTGATCGTTTGGCTTTAGTGAAAAAAGTTCGTCACCAATATAAAGATTTATCTATCACCGCACATTGAAAATATGTTCGTCATTGATATATAGCTGTTTATTGTTCTTTTGTTTTTTTGGTTGACCACCAAACAACAACCACCATGACGATATTAATGATGATAATAATTATTTAATGGCCAATTATGTCCAACGACCAAAATATCTTTGTGTATCGCATTAGTAACACACGCCCATAATCAACAGATTTTTTTTAAACACTAATTTAAATGCTGGACAATTTTTTTTTGTGTCTTCGACTAATAAAAATCAATCGATCATTATTGATTCGATCCATTCGAATCCAAACAGTGTTTCTAAATTCATGTTCAATTTATTTTCTTCCTCTAAAATTTTCTTCCAATTCAAACTTATGTTGAATAGGAATATTCTTTCCTTTCATATTTCATCTTTTCAGTTTTCCTATCGAGCTTTATTGTGAAACTATTTTGTGTGGATTTATCGAAACAAACACAATATTATTATTCGGCTATAAGAGTAGTCCATCATTGGGTCGCATTTTGCTGTCATTTTGAAAAAAACGATGGAAAAAAAATTTCATTTTATCATTTTAAAAATTGAAAAATTTACCAAAAAAAATTGATAAAATGAATGATTTTTTTTTCACAGAAATTAAAAAACAAATCGCAAGCTGCCCAGTGAAGGGCTTCTCTTGTGCGCGAAATTATTCAACAAACATGATGAAAGATTTTTCTTTTAAAAAAAGTCTAATCCATAAAATTTTCGCTAACAAAACTAGCTGTTGATTTTCCTATTTTGCTTGCCTGTCTTTATTTTCTATCATTTTGCCTCATGCTTTCTCTTTTATTTTCTTTTTGAGTTTTGAAGAGATTTTTTTTCAATATTTCAAGGTATAAGAATGTCATTTTCGTTCCAATTACATCCATAATTGATTGATTAATTAATTAATTTTGATTTTTTTCTCTTTTTTTTTCCGAATAGAATGACAACCGAAGAAGAACAGGAACAATCATCATCATCGACGACGACGACGACGACCACGAATGAAAAAAGTCAATCATTGATAGAAAAACAATGTGAAAATGAATCGAAAACATTAGAACAGCTACCTAAATTATCGGAACAACAACAACAAAAACAAACAGAAAATGAAGAAGAAAAACTTGAAGATGCTGAATGGTATTGGGGTAAAATTAGCCGCGAAGAAGTGAATGAAAAATTACGTAATCGTACGGATGGAACATTTCTTGTACGTGATTCAATATCGAAAATTTTCGGTGAATATACATTAACATTAAGAAAAAATAATTGTAATAAATTAATCAAAATAACAAGCCGTGATGGTTTGTTTGGTTTTTCCGAACCATTCATATTCAAATCGGTAGTTGAGTTGATTAATTATTATAAAACCGAATCATTGGCCAAATATAATCCATCATTGGATGTAAAATTATTATATCCAATATCACGATTCTATCAACCGGATATTGAAGGTATTGAAATTAATGATATGGAAAAAGTAAAAGCAAGATTAACCGAAGTAAGAAAAGAATTGAAAATAAAAAACACACAATATGATCAATTAAGTGAAGATTATGATAAAAATAGTAAATGTATACAACGACAACGGCAAGCAATACGTGGATATCAATTAATCATGGGTTTTGTACAGGATCATATTAATTTAAATAATAAATTACAGGTACAGGCATTACCACACGAAGCAAATCTAATGCAAGAACAAAAAATTAATTTACAAAATCGTTTAAATTTTTTTGCCAAAAGTATCGGTGATCTTGAAAATGATCTTAAACTAATGATTGCTTATAATCGTTTATTGGATCGTGAACGTAATTCGATTAAACCAACATTACAATTTCTTGGCCGACAGCATAATATTTTACAAAAAATTGTCGAACAAAATACCGATGAAATTGATCTACAACCACATAAAATTGAAACAACATGGCTAATCAATGAATGTAAACGTAATGATGCTGAACAATTGTTGAAAAATAAAAAAGATGGAACATTTTTGATACGACAAAGTCGACAACAAATGGGTAAATATGCTTTATCGATCGTCAGTGATGGAAATATTTATCATTGTCTTATATCACAAACGGATCGTGGCTATGGATTTTCCGAACCATATGATATTTTTCCCGATCTAATGAGTCTTGTATTGCATTATTCGAAAACATCATTGGAAGAACATAATGATAATCTTCATACAACACTTCGTTATCCAATATTTGCACATTCATTTCATCATTATCATTACTATTATAATAGCAATAACAATAATAATAACGGTAAAAATGATGACAATTGAAATTAGTATACGAAACCGGTAAAAATTTATCTAGTCTTTCTTTCTCTGAATCTATTAATCTCATTTTCAAATTCAATTTTTTTTGTATGATAATTTTTATTTTTATTTTGGATCTATAAAAACCATTGTTTTTGATATTCTTTATATCATCATTTATTTTTCTGTAATTTGGTATTCTCTTCATTTATTTCACCCAATAATTTTTACAAAATGAAAAATTTATTGAAAAATGCATATTAAAAAAAATAAACATAAAATTGAATACATAATTATTTAAGGTTCCATGCTGAATTAAAAGTTTTAAAAAGAATTAAAAAAAGATAAAATGATTTTTGGCAAGTTCATTCCGAATTGAATAAGGAGGTTCAATCTCTCTCTTTTATCCTTTTTTAGGCCAATAATTTGAAACATTTTTTCTGTATTTCTGTGATTAGTTCAACCTCTTCAAAAGACAATGGTAATCGAACGAGAGAAAATTCATGTTCCTGGCCAAATTTGATCAACATTGTATCCCAAAAGTCTTGATTCGAATCAATTTCGCATGCAAGAAGAAAAATATGAACTTTTTTATATTTTAATAATTTTATAGATTCATCATAATCGAAACCATAATTGATGAGATTATCTGGATTTAAAAAATAATCATTATTAGAAGCGCCAGCTAAAGTAATTTTTAACAATTTTTCCGAATCATGTTCAATATTTGATGAAGATTTTATCAGAAAATTTGCGTCAAACAATTTTTGTAATGTTTCATCATTCGATTGTTTGCTTTGATAATCTAGATAATCAGAAACTTTTTGTTTATCATTAGTATTTGTAATCATTAATGAACGTTCGATTATTTGTTCAAAACGTTGTTCGAAATTCGAAGGTGATGTTAATGAAAATTTTTTCAAAAAATTCTTAGAAATACGTAGTTTTTCTTCGTCATTTTCTTGTAAAGTAAAAACTGCAAAATTTATTGTTCGAACCAAAAATCCAATGGCAATATCCATTTTTACATAACCAATAATATGATTTGGTGTATTGAAATCCGAAACAGTTTCAAATTCAATTTCCAATGAATTAAGATATTCATGTTCAATCATTGCATCAGGAATTTCAACATTTTGATCATCAATAAATGCTTCTATTGAATCTTCTTTGCCAACAATAGTGATTGGAATGATTTTTCTTAACACTTTATTCGATTCATCATTTTTTGGCATCGAAGTAGAAGTAGAAGATTGTTGTGTAAAAAAACCATTAATTTCATTCGATTCTTTATTTAATGATATCAAATTTGAATATGGTTTTTTATTTTTCTTTTTTTTAAATGGTTGAATTGCTTTAGAAGATTGATTTTTCTTTGAAAGATTTTGACGGGCTAATTGATAATCATTTTGGTTATCAATTTCATGATTTGTATTTGCAATAACCAAAGTTTGATCCAATAAAACAGATCTTGAATTGTCAGATTGAATATTTTTCAACATTTTTTGATTATCGTTAATGTCATATTTTCGTATAAACTTTTCTAAATATCGACATCTTATAATTCTATGAACACGAATACATTTTTCTTCTTTGAAACAAATTGGACATATTGTTTTATCATCAATCAATCGATTATATGATTGTTCTAATTCTTCAAATGCTACAGGTTTTAAAATTTGTGGACAATCAAAAAAACTAAGTTTTGATCTCATCATTGCCAGAAAATGATATGGTGAATCTGAATGAAGAAAATTTGGAATTTTTTCCAACAACAATTTTAGATAATCTGATTTTTTATCATTATCGTTGATAGTATAAACAATATTCAATATAATACGAAGTAATTGACGATAATTTTCTTCAATATCATTTTCTTTTTCACTATAAATAAATTTTTTTATCAAATATTTTACAAATATTTCTGGTTCCATTGTAGTATAAATGATGAAATTTTTTTCCAAAATCTTTATAGCATCTTGAATATCATCAATATTTTCAATTAATCGTAATGCTTTTGAATTTTTTTGAACAGTTTTTTTCAAATAATCCATTTTTGTTTTCATATCTTTTATAAATGGATTTTCTATAATAAATTCCATTATTTGTGAATGATAATCATACCAATTTGTACCGGTTAATTTAATAAAATCTATATAATAAATAGCGAGTAATGCATCAATATCTTTGCAATCATCAAAAATAACAGATTTTTCATTATCAACCATTTCTTCTGATTCTTTTTGTGAATGTCTTTGAATTTCTTGAACTTGATATTTATCAAACGTCTGTTCTTCTGATTTGTTATTGACAATAATATTGTTTGTTTGACAATCAGATTTGAAAAATTTATTCAATCGACCAACTCGTGTATTGAATAATGCAACTAAATGTTCATCATATAAATCATCGTTTTCGGCCAAATTACAATTAAATGTACGTATTTGTACAATTAGATTACGTATTTCTTTTTCATTCGTAAGAATAACATTTTCATGGCCATCAATAAAACTATTAAAATACTCATTAAATATACGTAAACATTTTTTACGTTTTTCGAACATTTCCATTTGTAAAGCCATTACTAATACGGTTCGGATAAAAAAAGAGATAAATTGTCTTACATATAACGTTTGATCTTCCAGAAAAAAAACAATTAGATTTTTTTTAGTATCAATATAAAATGATTAAATATTGAATATTCAATCTTGACATTAAAACGTTTATATATCGAAAATCGGCTAATGAATCACATGAAACGAAACAGTAGCTGAAAAAAAATATAAAAATCTTAAAACAATACTGAACAAAAACAGACAAACAACAACAACAAAAAAACTTACCTTTATCTTTCCAAAATAATTCACATAAACTTTATAATTGTAAATATTAAAAATATGAATAAAGTTATTAATTAAATTTATAACTCATGAACATTAACATAACTCAATACTCATAACTTTTTTTAATCCACATCATCATCATTTTATAATGAAGACAAAAGCTTCAACAACTAACCAATCTCATTTTGGCAACGATACTTTTAACTCACGACCAAAATATTATTACCCTACTTTCACTCGTATATAACTCTCAAATTTGTTTATACCACCGAAGACAACAGATGTATGATACATTTATATATGTGGTGACGATAGGCAATAAGAAAAAAAGAAAACTTGTACATCATCAGGCTATATAGACGAGAAATTACGATAAATTCTCATGATAAAATGGAGAATTTTTTAACACTCAAAGACTCACATGTGAAATGCATTTGAAAAAATAAATCTTTAAGACACTTGTTGATAAAATGGCGACCAACCGTACTATTTTTCAGGAATCAGGATTTCTTTTTTAAACGCAACAATTTTTAAAATATAAAATAAAATATTTATTGAAAAATGCACATTTGAAAAATTCATATTTAAGAAAGAAATTTTTATGTAATTGAACATTTATCATTTTATGTTCCATGTTGTATTAAATGTTTTTTTATAATAATTAGAAAAAATAGTTTGGTAAAACAAAAATGTAAAATTTTAAAATATAATTCTTGATGATTTTGCCAAATTTTATTACGAATTAAATATTAAGCTTTTAGGCCAATAATTTGAAACATTGTTTTTGAATTTCTTTGATTCGTTCATCCTGTTCATTTGACGATGATAATCGAACAATAGAAAAATTTTGTTCCTGGCCAAATCTAATCAACATTGTATCCCAATAATCTTGATTCGAATCAATTTCACAAGCAAGAAGATAAATATTAGCTTCTTTAAATTTCAATAGTTTTAGAGATTCATCAAAATCGAAACCATAATTGATGTGATTATCTGGATTTAAAAAATAATCATTTTCAGAAGCTTCAGCCAAAGCAATTTTCAACAATTTCTTCGAATCATTTTCAATATTTGTTGAAGATTTCATCAGAAAATTTGCATCAAACAATTTTTTTAATATTTCATCATTCGATTGAGTGTCTTGACAATCTAATTGATCAGAAATTTTTCGTTCACCATCATTATTTATAAGCGTTAATGAACGTTCAGTTATTTTTTTAAAACGTTGTTCGAATTTCGAAGGTGATGATAATGAAAATTTTTTCAGAAAATTCATTGAAATACGTAGTTTTTCTTTGTCATTTTCTTGTGAAGTAAAAACTGCAAAATCTATTGTTCGAATCAAAAATCCAATGGCAATATCCATTTTTACATAACCAATAATATGATTTGGCGTGTTGGAATCAGAAACAATTTCAAATTCAATTTTCAATGATTTTAGATATTCATGTTCAATCATTGCATCAGGAATTTCAACATTTTGTTCATCAATAAATGCTTCTATTGAATCTTCTTTACCAACAATAGTGATTGGAATAATTTTTCTAATCACTTTATTCGATTCATCATTGTTTGGCATCGAAGTAGAAGTAGAAGATTGTTGTGTAAAAAAACCATTAATTTCATTCGATTCTTTATTTAATGATATCAAATTTGAATATGGTTTTTCATTGTTCTTGCTGTTAAACGGTTGATCTTCTGCAGAAAATATTGTATTTTTTGGGTTATGAATTGGATGATTTGTATTTTCGTTAAACAAAGTCTTACCGAATTGAGTTTCCTCGAATGTTTTCATATCGTGTGTATATCTTCGGACCAACTTTTCTAAAAATCGACATCTAACAACTTTATGAACCCGAATATGATTTTCTTCTTTGAAACAAATTGGACATATTGATTGAACAATCAAACTATTGTATGCTTGTCCTAATGCTTCATATGTTCCAGGTTTTAAAATATGTGGACAATCATATATTCTAAGTTTTGCTCTCATCATCGTCACAAAAAAAGATGGATCCAATTTGTATACATTATTGAAAGTATATGGAAGTTTTTTCAACAACAATTGTAGATAATCTGGGCGTTTATTTTCATCTTTAACAGCGTATAAAATAAGCAATGCAATACGTAATAAAAAGCGATAAGTTTTTTCAATCTTAGTTTCATAAAAACAAAATTTATCGATTAAATATTTTACATATTGTTCTCCTTCCATTGAAGAACAAGAAATATAATGTTTTTCCAGAATTTTTATAGCTTCATAAATATTATCTATATTTTCAATTAATTCTAATGCTTTCGAATTGTAACGTATAGTTCTTTTCAAATGATCCATTTTTGTCATAGTGTTCATCTTTTCATTGAATACAATGAATTCCATTATTTGTGAATAATAATCAAACCAATTTGTTTGAGTTATTCGTAAAAATTTTAAATAATAAAGAGCGAGTAATGCATCAATATCTTTGATATCATTAATATAAAATGATTTTTCATTATCAACAATTTCGTTTCGTTCTCGAACATTATGTTTATAAAAAGTTTGTTGATCTGATTTGCTATCAACAATATTGTTTGTTTGAGAATTCGAATTCAAAAATTCAGCCAATTGATGTGCTCGATCATTGAATAATGTAACTGTTTGTTCATCATATAAATCATCGTTTTCGGCCAAATTACGATTAAATATACGTATTTGTTTAATTAGACTACGTATTTCGGTTTGATTTGTAAGAATTTCATTTTTATCGCCATCAATTAAACTATTAAAATATTCATTAAATTTACGCAAATTTTTTTTACGTTCCTCGAACATTTCCATTTGTAAAGCCATTACTAATCGTGATTCGAAAAAAAATAGAGAATTATGATCGTTTTAAATATAACGAAGTTAACACACAAAAACTTACCTTTATCTTTCAGAATAAACTTTATAATTGTAAAATATAATAAATAAAAAAAAACTTATCGATTAAATATATAAATCATGAACAAAAATGACTCAATTAATCAAACTTTAACGACTAAGCAACGTGGAAATGTTTTTTGAACAAAGACAAAGATAAATGGCACTTGTTTGGCAAAACAGTGTGTAGCCACATCATTTTTTTTGAGGGTGGGAGTTGCGAATAGAATTTACAGCTTCCGTTGTTTATGAATTTCTCAAAATTTTCGCTGTTTTTTAATATTCGCTATTTTTTTTAACTTATTTGGCCGCTATTTGTAAACACATGGAATCATGCATGAATTTTGCATCATTTAAATCTTTAATTGTTTTTTTCCTCGTTGTTGTTTTTGATTAGATATTTTTGATTTTTCAATGGAATTATAAAGATTTTTCAAAAAAAATCATCATAAACTTGTGATTCAAATTTTTTACTTTTACATAATAGCTATTTGATTTTGACATTTTTATGTCCTCTACAAATCATGGTACTCATTTTCTTCCTAAATTGAATTGAATAAAATGTTTTTAAAATTGAATTTGAATAATTTTTTTTTAAATTCTCACTTCAGGCAAAATATCTGGCACAGATTATTGTTATTGGTGCACAGGCAATAGGTCGTGCATTTACACGTGCATTAAAACAAGAAATCGAAGGTAAATTTGATAGTTTCAATATTTTAATTTTTTTTGACCTATTCATTAATGTTAATCAAATTCCATAATAGCAAGTCAACGAGCTGCACAGCAACGAAATACAAATAATACAAATTCTAGTACAGCTGCATCAGCTGCATCAAATGCAAAATTAGGAATGACTCTTCAAGTAAATGTTTTTTTTTGATTTTCAATTCCATTTTTTTAATATTGTTTCGGTTTTTTGCCCTTTTTAGGAAGCTATGCAAATATTAAATGTTGAAAATAATCAATTAAAAGATATTGAATTGATTGAAAAACGTTTCAAACATTTATTCGATGTAAATGATAAAGCAAAAGGTGGTTCATTTTATATACAATCTAAAGTGAGTAAATTCCGGGATAGTAAAAATTGTCAATTTTGTTTTTTTTTCTCTTCTTGTATTTTCAATCTGCAAATTAAAATAAAATGCAAAAAATCAACTGCTTATTCGAACGACGACGACGACGATGATGATATTTATCATTTGGTTTTTTTTTCTCTAATCATCATCCCCATTTGTTTGCCAAAAAAAAACAAAATATCACATGATAATTATAGACTTGTATAATGATGAGCATAATATATGAAATGAAAACAACGATGACGTTGACGACTATGATTGGTTCAAAATTTTTTACTTCAAAAAATTTATACTGTTTTTATAAAAGGTCGTCAACATTGAATAGTCGACAATCATTCGATAATTATAATAATCGTATCTATTACATTCAACAACGAACAATGGCTACTACAACAACAACAACAACAGATGAAAAATTGATCGAAAATATTAATAATAATATTAATGAACAAAATTTACGAAAAACAATTGAACGTATGAAACGTAGTCGTTTATTTGGTGGACGTTTACGTTCAGATTCTGTAATGAAAAAAGCAGCAATTTTTGTTCCATTCTGTCATGATTCATCAAATGTACCGGCTATTTTATTTACACGACGATCATTTACAATAACTAAACATAAAGGTGAAGTTTGTTTTCCCGGTGGTCTTGAAGAAGATTGTGATGATACAATTATTGAATCAGCTATTCGTGAAACAATCGAAGAAATTGGTGTTAATCGTTCTGATATAAAAATTTATGGTGAATTAAATCCAGTACCATTCAATGATTTAGCATTGTATCCGGTACTTGGTTATCTAAAATTACATAATAATTTAAATCAATTTAAATTAAATCCCGATGAAGTACAATCAATACATATTATACCAATAACAAGATTATTAGATATGAAATATTGGCTTAAAACACATTGGCGTTCAGGTTGGACTACACCAGTGTATAAAGATAAAGAAAATCCACGTATTTGGGGAATGACAGCAAGCATTCTATATATGTTATTGGCCAATATATTTCATGAACATTTTCAATTTGATTCATCATATTTGAATCGTGGATCAATATCACCATCATTATCATCGTCATCGTCGTCGTCGTCGTCAGAATCGAAATCAGTAGAAACAACTTCAACATCATCAACTAGTGATCAAAAAACACGTTGAATAATTGGAATTTTTGTTTTCTCCTTCTTCCTTTTTTTTTCTTTCTAGGTTTATCGAGCAAAAGAACGGATTGATGAAGAGCTTCAAACTTTACTACAACAAAAACAATCATCAAAAGGAAATGGTCAGCCAAAATCGGATTCAAGTTGAATTTCTTTTCTTTTTTTTAATTATAGTTACAAGAATTGCCTTACAATATATTTTGTAAATTCTCTTATTTTGTATAAATTTTTAGAAACAAAATATAGTCGAAATGAGTTGATTTTTTATAAAAAAAAAAATGTAAAATGTAGTTTTTGTTTCAAATTTTTTTTTCATTAAAAAACCTGTTGATTTTTGTTTCAAAAGATTATTTTCGCTATTATGAACAACAACGTTTTGTTTTTACACCAGTTATATTATTAAGATCATCAATTTCCATCATAAGACCACCATAACCATTTTTAGTTGCTTCATTTGTACTTAGATCAAAATATGTTTTCATATGATATTCGCTAATTTTTTCAGTTAATTTTAATTGTCCCATTAAACGATCATATGTTTCTTGTGATTGTTTTGGTTCTTCATATAATGTATCCAGATATTGTTTCATAAGATTACAATAAACATTTCGTTCATTTCTGGAAATTGAATGGAAAAAAAATTTATTTTTTTAAAAAAATCATATGGGATTTAGAGATTGAACATACCTTATTTTTTGTACATTATAAATATTTGGTCGTTCTGGATTAAATAATGCAATGGCAATCAATAATGACATTAGATAATCATTATAACGCCATTCAGGTTCGAATGACATTACATAACAACGATGTTTTTCATATAATTTTGGATTTGCTTCTTTTAGCATTTCCATTTTCAATGTAAAACGAAAATTTCTTTCCAAATCCTAATGAAAACATGGAAAAGAGAACATAATTAACAATTTTTCTTTTTGTAAATGTAAACATAATTTCCAACATACCAATGCCTCCCAACATTCTTTTTCCAGATTAATAGTCATCATTGACCAAATTATTAATGTATCCATTACACTACCTTTAACTAATGCAACTTGATCTTCTTGACTTAATTCTTGAAATGAATATAATTTTTTACACATCTTTATAAAATTAAATGTTACAATTTCGGCAATAAGTATGAGATCGATAAATTTTTGATCAGTTGGTAAATCGGAAATAGTTTCAGCCGATAAAATCTGTACAATTGATGTTAGATATTTTAATCTACAGCTACCATGTTCGGTGAGTACATTTTTCGGATGATTCGATGTTGCTGCACGTAATAATAGATGAAATTTCGTTACACTATAACCACTTTCACGTATAATTTTTACTTTATTTTTTAATTTAATTAATCTTTCATCGGCCATATTTTGTCTATCAATTTCTTCTTTATCAATCGTTAATTTTGATTCATTAATTTCGTTTGGTTGTTCGACGATCGTTGTTGTTGTTGTTATTGAATTATCAATATGATGATGATGATCAACATCATCAATATATTGATCAATTATTTCTTGAACATTACTATCGATACTATCGATACTATTACCGGAACTATTCGAATCAAGAATCATTAAATTATTGTTATTATTATTATGATTATTATCATTATTATTTGTTGATGTTAAAATTGTTGAATAAAATTTTTCATTCATTAATTTTACATCATAAATTGATTCATTATAGATGGATGATGATGTATTGATTGTACCATTATTATTATTATTATTATCGATCAAAAATATTGGTTTATTTTCCGATTGATAATGTTGATAATGAGATTGATTATAATGATGATTATCGATCTGTTGATGAAGATGATCCATATGTCGATTATTCGATAATTTTCTCGTTGAAATTTTTAAATTTCTTTCCTGTTTTTGTGCATCACTCATTATATATTCACTTTTCATACCCATTGAATAACATTTTGTTAAACGACATGAAGCACAAAATCTTCTTGAATGAACATTAATTTCACATTTTAATTGAAAATAACATTTTAATTTCTATTGAAACAGAAAAAAAAGTTATAATTTATTTAATGAAAATGATCAAAGTTTACAAAATAAAAAAAAAATACATTACATTCACTTTGAATGCATTACGGCGAAAAAATTCTTTACATGAAGCACAGGTAATTGCACCAAAATTACAACCACGTGCACGATCACCACAAACAACACAAAGGCTACGTGTAATGAATGGATTACGTTGTTGTTGTTGTTGTGGTTGTCCATTATTCATTATCGTTTGTTGTTGTTGTTGTTGGGAATTATTTATTGGCACATTCGTATGATAATGCTGAAGATCTACATTTCTCATCATCAACATCGGTTGTTGTTGTTGATGAATTGTTTGTCCATATTGATGATTTGTTGTTGTTGTTGTTGATGATGAAAAATATTTATCATTAATTATTGATCGATCTATATCGGTCATTGAATTTAATGATTCAAAATAATGATAATTTGGTTGTGTCATTGTTGTCGCTGTTTGAAATCGATTCATAATTCTTTCTCAAATAAAGAAAAAAGTAGTAAAAAAAGAAAATTTCAATACAAAAATGATTCCAATTAAATAACCAACGGAAAAAAAAGAAAAAAAAATTTCTGTTAGTCAATATTTTGGCCAAAAGAAGAAGCAAATGGTTAAAACAATTTTATCATCAATTTGATTAGCGAAGACACACACATATACACAAAACTATATGCAATCCTCATACATAAGATGACAAAGAAAGAAAAAAAAAGGAAAAACTGATTAGCAAATCATCATCATCATCATGAGTTTATTGAATGTTGATGCGGTATATGCAAAACATAAAAAAAAATTTTCTTGAAAAAAATCACCGATAACAACACCATCAAACAGTGTTAGTAGTCATGGAATTTTTGTTGTTTTGATGAGGACCACGATCTTTGCATCTTAATCATTTGTTTTTTTGGCAAGAAAATCCAATTCATAATTAGATGATGATTAACATTGATGATCAATATTTAAGAGGATGTTTGTTGTTATTGGCAATGACAATGATTTGGATTAAGGATTAGGGATTATTAAGAGGCCAACAAACAAAAATTTCATCATAATTAGATAATAAGTTTTTGTTTTGGGATGAACAACAAATTGATTCGAAACAATGAAAGGGTAGGGTTGAAATAGCCCGAAACACAAACCGGAATCGAAAAAATATTTTCAATAAAGATGATGGTGAAGAAGAAGAAAAAAAAACTTGACAAAATCAATGTGATTTGGAAAAAACAAAATCATCATCTCTGGCCAATCATTCAATTATCATTTTTTAGTTTTTGTTTTGTTCGATTTCTTCAATTTTCCAATATTTAATTTTACGATAAGAAATTTTTCAATCGTATGATATGCCCTTTTGCAAACATGATACAGAAATGTGCCCAGAAATCATAGATTTGATAATTTGATTTGATAACCAATGCGTGTTGAATACAGAAAAAACAAAAAATAAAAACCGTCAGAAAAAAAGTGATATGACCGAAAAAAACTTTTTTGATAAAATGAACAAGAAAAAGCAACAACAGTTTCTGAATTTTACTTTTTTTTTACTTTCTTCTGAAATCCTTCAAATTGAAATTATAATTAATTAATAGGAATGAATACTGTTGTTGAAAACTGTTGAAAACAACTTTTATCATCATCATGTTGATCATCGTCAACATTGAAATAAACAAAAATTCCCAGAAATATTGTTTGTTGTTTGCTTGTTGAAGAACAACAACAACAACAACAAATGTCCAATGATCTTGTTTTCAATTTAGTTTTAAGTCAAAAAACAAAAATGACCAATATCAAATTCTCGATCAACAACAACAACAAAAAAAGAACATGAGAAAATAACAACAATATTCGTTCCTATTTATAGTGATACGATTGATCGCCATTATCCCATATTTCAAGGTATTATTTGATCATTTTGAAAAAAAATTAATTTTTTTTGGATGATTTTCTCATGAAGAAAAAGCTAACATTTATCGCAATTTGTCAATAATGATCAATTTTTTTTCAAGTAAAATTAACAACATGATTTTGACATCTGACATCTGATGATTATCAACAAGGATTTTCTCTTTTCCCTTTTTGGATATTGTATTGGATATTGGAGATTGATTAATTGTGAGGAATGTATTCGATTCGACTATTTCAACCGGATCTATCCATAAAAACACTGTATTATATTAAGGTCATTGTTGCCGGAATTTCTCTGACGAGTTATTTGAGCCAAAAACAAAGGATGATGATGATGAAAAACATTTTTTTTTTTTGAAACAGAAAAGTAAGTAATAATAATAAAAACACTTATTTAATTATCCTAATCATCATTATCATTATCATCATCAATAACAAGGCTTTTTAAATTAAATTATTTATTACGATAATTTTGCATTTTTAGATAATTTTATTGTTGTTGTTGTTGTTGTTGTTGGACAAATTCCACACATTTCAGCCATAATGATCTTAATTTTGTTGTTTGATTTGGTTTGATAATTTAATCAAATTCATAGGGAAAAAGATGATGGGGATGGGAAATCATTTGCTGTTCCCCCCACTGATATCTGTGTGGATTTTGAATGAAAAAAACGTTTTTTTTTAATGAGAAAAAAATGAAAATGATGTAATATTAACGATCAATGGGTTAAATTGAGGCAGTTGAAGGGGGGAGGTTAAAGGGTTATTAAATTGTATTTTATTGTTATTGTTTCTGTTATTAATAAAGTGCTATATATTTTTTTTATAATCTTTGGAATGATTATCAAAAATAAAAATTGATGTAAATATATGGAAATTATGTTTTTCTTTTGCCGTTATCATTTAAAAAAATCCACCACCAACACCGCCCATGCCACCGATGCCACCATGTATACCACCAAGTCCAAGCTGACCAAGACCACCAATACCCGAATGACCAAAACCACCATGACCAATAAGGCCACCAGTTTTTGCATGTGCCAATAAATCTAATGCAGCACCTTTAGCTAATCCTTTTTCAGCAAATTTACCACCATAAAATATTGGTTCATGAATGATTGGCTGTTTTATTACACTAGAAATTTGAAAAAAAGACGTTATTTGTTTGTTTGTGTAGATATGGGAATGAGATGAGATTAATCATTATGAAATAAAAACAAACAAATTGGTATATACATACGGTATTGGTAATGGAAATGGAATCGGTATCTTTTTCTTATGTATCGAACTAATAGCAGCCAATGCAGCAACTTCAATACCTTTTTTTTTAAAGAATTTTTTCTCTTTACGTATAAATTTATACAAATGTTTGGCAAATTTTCTATGCGATTTGAATATTGTTGCTGATTCAACACTACTAATTGCCATTATAAAACAAATAATTAATAATATTAATATTGTTGTCATTATTAATTGATTCAATGATGATCGATTCATTTTTTTTGAATAATGAATCAACATGATGAATTCGTTGTTTGTTGTTGTTGTTTTGCTTTGTTTGCTTTGTTTGCTTTGTTGCTTGATGCTAAATATGGATCGATCGATATTCACATGAACAGGAAAAAAAATCAAAGAAAGTTTGTTAATTTTTTTTTAAAATGTTGAATTAATCATGGAACGTAAAACAAGTAAACACACGATAGATACATACGATGAAAACAATGTTTGGGTGAAAAATATTTTGTCCGCAAAGCGGAACTGAACATTTTATACTGCAATTTTTTTTTGTTTGTTTGTTGAAAATAAAATCCACAACCGCACTAACACTTACACACCTTTTGAATTAGGAAATGGAATTTAAATGAAATCAGAAGAAAAAAACCTTTTTACTAATAGATTTCTCTTCATTTCATTTCATTTTTGGATTTAGGAAAAACCAAAACCAAAACCAAACCAAACAACAAAAAATCAAATCATAAACATTGGTAAAAACGGGAAAAAATATGTCAAATTGGTCAGTACGTGTTAGTTTGGATGATGATCATCAAAATCACGGAGAAAACAAAAAACAAGGAAAACCATTGTCTTTGTAGTGGACTGAAATTCAGATCAACCAACCGACCGACCAACCAACCATCAAACCCATTGATTAATGCCAAATGTCAGGAAAGAAGAAAAGAAAATGTTTGCTTGTGTGAGAATTTTTGACACTAAATTGAAGAAAAAAAAACCAACCCGAAAATTGTTTCCGAAAATTTTCTGAATGCAACAAGAAAAGTGAACAGGTATAATTGGTCTTCAGAGTCTATGAGAGCATGACTGACATTATTATTATCGTTTATCGTTTCATTTGATAATGATGACCGTTGATTTTTTTTTTGTTAAATGATTCATAATGAATTTGAATATGATCCGCAGCGTGCATGTTTATACTGTGAAATTTTTTGTT